TCCAGGCAGAGGGAGCAGGAAACTATATAGTGCATCCAGATATCTGCAAATAGTTGGGGTGACAGTGTAGAGGGAGGCACTTAAAAAAATTTTTTTTTTAATTACAGAGAGGAAGGAAGAGGGAGAGAGATAGAAACATCAATGATGAGAGAGATTCAATGATCAGCTGCCTCCTGCACATCCCCCACTGGGGATCGAGCCCACAACCTGGGCATGTGCACTGACAGGGAATCAAACTGTGACCTCTTGGTGCATGACTCGATGTTCAACTACTGAGCAACATGGCCGGGTTCCTGTGCTCATTATCATAGCACATTTATTCTATAATAATAAAAGGCTAACATGCTAATTAGACCAGATGTCCTTCTGGACGTCCTTCCATCCGGACAAAGCTGGAAGGAGTCGAGGCAGAGATGGCAGAGGCCCCTGGCCGCAGCAGCGGCGGTGGTGGGCGGGGGCCAGGGCCAAGGTCCTTGCACGAATTTTGTGCATCCAGCCTCTAATATTACGTAATAGGCTGCTTGTATTTATTGAATGAATGGTTTAGGGTGACCCTAGTTTGCCTGGGACTGTCTGGTTTTAGCACTGAGAGTCCTGTCCCAGGAAATTCCTCAGTCCTAGGCAAATCTAGATAAATGGTCATCCTAAATTGACATCTCAAATTTTTTTGAATGAGCAAATGAATGAATGACAGTGTCAATATCAAAGTTAATGACCCTCAACTTTTCTTGTGTGTATATGAGCATAAACCCATTCGGAATGTCTGGAGGATTCAGTTCTTTTCCTATATGCTTCACCCCTCATTGAGCTGAGGATGCTGTGGAAAGACATTCTCATGACCTGGTTGAATTCCAGTCCCAGCTCTGTTTTGCCCCATAATCCTGTAAGAAAATAGCTTAACTTTCTCAAGCAGGGCTCCTTATCCAAACCAAAGAACAAGAAAATGGTTTGAGTATTATTTCTCAATTCTCTAAAAGTTGGCACATAACAAGTATTCTAGGTGCACGGGAGAGAACCTAATGCAATATTATTGATGCCTTAAGTCATTTAGGGTTTAATTCTTTCACCTGTAGAGAATTACACAGGCCTTACAGTCAAGAATGCCACTGTGATTGTCCTCTGCTCTTGTTCATTAGCACAACTGGCTGAAGGAGAAAAGCTATGGAAAATGTCAAAGGACCAGACTTGTGTTATCTGTGTTCTGCAAATTGAGGAACTGAGGCCTGGAGAGGAAGTGCATACTCATTTTACAAAGACAGACAAAGGTAGAAAGCTATAAGATCTCACTGGTTAGGAGGGGGAAATAGAAATACAACCAGCTACCTCCTATGCCTTGATGTAGCGGTTGTCACCAACTTGGCTTCTCAGCTGGCAATTGCCAAAGTCAGGCTGCACTGTATGTCATCTGTGGAAGACAAATGATCTATAAATAAATTGACTTGGAACAGTCTCAAATACACAAAAACCACAATGGCTTTAAAAGTAAGTCTTGACTTTTCACCCCTCATTTTCTTTCTCTTCTTGGAGAGGTAAGCAAGGAAGGTTCCGTAAGATAGGCCTTACTGAAAATCAACCCAAGAAACCAGAAAGTTCTTTGTATTTTCTTTAACAGGCATATTTCAATACCAAATACTTGTTTGGAAGCTCCTTGAGTCAATAATACATCTCTAAGCATGTGCCTGTATATTAGACTTAAGCTCCTGCTCGTTATATCAATTCTTTAAAAACATTCATTTTCTAAAGGAGGTGATTATGTATTTTGTCATTCAATTTCCCATCATTAAAAATTTCATATGTAAATCACTGAATACTGATAGGGTAATGTGTAAAGAGGGAATGTTTTTAGTGACTAAACTGAAGGAAAAGGTTATTGATGGCTCTTCCATCCGAGGAGGAATTTCTGAATAATACCTTGTATAGACTTGGGAGCTACCAGAATGCAGAGTAATGGTGGCCTTAGGGCTCTGTTTTCAGCTCAGATTCTGGAGCAGAGGTACCCACTTTTAAATAACATTCTTAATAGTATTTCATTTGTAGGATGCCTTTCCCCCATGGCATCATTACATCACCATAGGACAACAGAAGCACAGGGTCCTGAGTTTTCATTGACAATCATTCATCTGAAAGGAAGGTCACAGGGTTGCCAATACTAATTTAAAAAGCACTTATTTTATGCCTGATTTGCATGACTGACAGAAAGAAAATCCATCTCTGGCCTAGTAAAGGAAATACTTTTGAAGGCATTTGAAAATGTCTAACTTGGCTAAAAAAGATTGAGTTCTACTGAAGCTTTACAAATGGGTGCAGATAGCCACTAGAAAAGGTCTTGGTCTTGCTGGACATGAAGATGCTCTGGAGGGAACCTTCTTCTCAGAAGAAATGATTTAAAATTAGCTTGCTAAGAAATGCTATTCACTAGGTTTAAAAGGTCCACACATTTGTGCTTTTTACTAGAAAATTCAAAGGACTTGATATGGCCCAAGATGATTTTTTTCTAGATGGCTGTTCTACCAACAACCATCTTAAGGAATTTAGTTTGAGCATTAAACCCTAGTTCCTTTCTAACTTCCCGTGCCCTCTCCTAAGCTCAGCTGGCTCTAGTAATGCCTTAATCACTGGCAGTTCCTACATCAAGCCATACAATTGCATGCCTTTGAGCCTTTGTTGTTGTTTTTTTCCTTTCATCTAAACTTTGATTCCCTCTTCCTCTCCACCTTCCCATTTTTTCCTGTCCATTTATCATGTCAGACTTAATTTAGGAGTCACCTTTAGGAATCCTTTTTAAAACCTGTGGTATGCTAAGATCTTCTCCTCTGTGCCTTGTGAGCCCCCCTCTATGGTAACAGTTATGTTATATTCAAATTGAGTTCACACAGTAGGTGTTCACTATCTGCTTGTTAAATATTCCAGGTTATGGACACCCTTGCTTATTTTGGGGAGGGCCAAGGAGATAATTTAAAAAAAAGTGTGTGTGATAAAATACACTCAAAATTTGCCATCTTAATTTTGGCATTAAATGCATTCATAATGCTGTGCAACCATCACCACTATTCATCCCATAACTTTTTTCATCTTGTAAAACTGAAACTCTATACCCATTAAACGACGACTCCCCATTCCCCTAGCCCCAACCCCTGGCAGCATCTTTATCTCTATGATTTTGACAATTCTAAGTACCTCATGTAAATGGAATCATACAGTATTTATTCTTTTTATGACTTATTATAATTAGCTTAATGTCCATGTTGTAGCATATTGTAAAATTTCCTCCCTTTTTAAAGCTGAATAATATCCCATTGTAATCATATTTTCCCTATCCATTAATCCATTGATGGGAATTTGGGTTGCTTCTACGTTTTAGCTATTCTGAAATAATGCTGCTATAAATATGAATGTACCAATATCTTTTCATGATTCTGCTTTCAGTTCTTTTGGGTATATATACCTGTAAGTGGAATTGCTGAGACAATCTGGTAATTCTTTTTTTAATTTCTAAAGGAACTACCTACTGTTTTCCTCAGTGGCTGATCCATTTTACTGACTCCCCACAAACAGTGCACAAACAAGGATTCCAGTTCCAAGGAGCTGTCATATGGTTTTTAAAATGTCCGTTTAAATTTGAGAGATTAGAGACCCAAAAGGGCAAATTCATTATGAGGGGAAGATATATTACAGTGACCTACCCTGTGCCAGGTGCTTCAACATTTTACATTCACTCTAATTCTATATAATAAAAGGCTAATATGCAAATCGACCCAATGGCAGAACGACCGGTCGCTATGACACACACTGACCACCAGGGGGCAGATGCGCAACGAAGGGGGGGGCGCCACTCAGCCAGAAGCTGGGCTTGCGGCTGGCGGGCGCAGCCGAGGTGGTGGGAGCCTCTCCCGCCTCAGGGGCAGCGCTAAGGATGGCCGACCGCCAGCTTGGGGTGCAGGAAGGGCTGAGGGACCTCTCCCCCCACCCGGGGCCTCCCCCCCACCCCCCAGGGCATGAATCTTGTGCACCGGGCCTCTAGTCATATAATTCTAATTCTCACAATAATCTGATAGGCATTATTATCTCCATTTTATAAATTAGGCTAAAGATTAAGTAACTCATCCAAGGTCATACATCTAAGGAAGTGACCCAACCAAAACTCGGACCCAGGACTGACTGCAAGCCAGAACCCAATTATTCTACAGCATCAAGGAGCTATTGGGAGTGACTAACCCTACAGAATCTCGGATACTGAGGGGTTTGACTTTTCTTTTCCTCTGGTAAATTACCCCTGGCAGGGAAGGCGAAGGGGGAAGTATAAACGGAAGGCCTTTTCAGATTAGTCAACTGAGCAGCTGCCTTTGCCCTTATCCAGATTTTCACGGGTTTTGCGAGGGAGCGAAATGTAAAATGTGTGGCCTCCACGAGGCTGAAATACGAAGGTGAGCGCGGGGTACGGTTTTCCTGAGGTATTTCTCCATCCACTCAGGTGTCTACCCCTACACAACGGGCGGCAAACCACGTGCGAGCGTGGCGGGGAAGCGCGCGTGGAGGAGGAAAGTTCTCCAGACAAGCGCAGGGAAAACGACCTGCCGCCCGGCGCAGTCGCCAGGACAGAGCGGCCGGAGCAGCAACGGCAGAATCCGCACCGCGTCCCCGCGGCGGCCGCTGCGAGCCCGAGTGACGCATTGCAGGTACAAACCAGCCAATCAGAGGCCGGCGCAATGTTCATCGCACACGCGCCTCTACGACTATGCTCCTCCGCGCCGCAAAGTAGCGCCCCTCAGGCGCCTCTCTACGGGCATTTTAGCGGCTCACCAGAGAATGAAAACCACTTACGTCGTCCGTTTGTCCACTTCTCTTTACCCTTTGCATCGTCGGCCAAATCACTGTGGAGGATAAAGGGTTCTCGAGGAGAGTTGGCGGGGAGGAGGGGGTGCCTGGGGGAAAGGGCCGGGACTCGTTTGTGATGTTCCGTTATCTGGCATGCGGCGGAGGGATCTGGCGGAGGGAGGTGTTTATGAGGCGCTGGGGGCGGAGGGGGAGAATTAGTCCGAGTGGAGCGAGCGAGCTGACTGGTTGTGTGGTTGCGTCTCGGAGACCGGTAGCGCTTGCAGCATGGTGAGTGCGTTGTTAGGCTGCTGGCGCTTGGCCTGTGGGGGAAAGAAGCTGAAGCGGATTGACCAAAGAAAGGGGACTCGCTCCCTTAATACCTCCAGGAGTGGTCTTCTCCTGCCGGAAGGCGCGCAGGGGCCTGGGGGCGCCCGCGGCGGTTGTGTCGCAGGTGTCCTCCCACCCCTATTCTCCTCAAGGAGCTGTCCCCTAGGGCATTGGGGGCCCTGCTCCCGAGACCGCCAGGTCCTAGGGGCTTGGCCGAGTGAGGATGGATCCGGGGCGGGGGGCAGCCCAGCACATGAGGGAGGCGAACGAGTGGAAGGGCGGGCGGGAGGAGCAGGAGCGCCAAAGCTTTCGGTCGGGCATCTCGAAAGGTCGCCGGATTCAAAAGCCCAACGGACGGTTAGCACGGTTGCCAGGAAGCGCCTTTGTCCGCTTGTGGCCGCCATGCGCCG